CCCCCCCAGGCTCCCCCCCCTTAGATGTCTGTGACTCTCTCTAGATGGGATGCTTTGGTCCCTCTTCGCTTGTAACATGCACCAGCCCCAGCAGCCAGGCCAGCTGGGAGTACCGCCCCCCCACCCCCCTGGGCCAGCCCCACGTGGGCCCTGGGTCCGGACAGCTCGAAGATGGGGGCTGATTTGGGCCGGACCTCGGCTGGGTGAGTCGCTGGGTGAGAACAGCCGGACAATGGACCGGACCGACTCCCAGGATGCCTTGGGAGGGTCTGGACGCTCCTTCACTGGACGTCAAGTATCAGAGGGGTAGCTGTGTTAGTCTGAATCTGTAAAAATGCAAGTACTTGCATCTGAAGAAGTGAGGTTCTTACCCACGAAAGCTTATGCTCCCAATACTTCTGTTGGTATTAAAGGTGCCACAAGACCCTCTGTTGCTCTTCACTGGAGGGTGTCAGAACGAGGCTGCGTAACCATCTGTCCTGGGTGGTTCAGACACAACAAATCCTGCATCTCGGCAGGGGTGGGACTAGATGACCCTTGGGGTCCCCCCAACGCTGTGGCTCTCTGCTGAGAAGCCCCCTGCACTTCTGATCCGGGGCCCTTGTCTCGCCTCCCCTCCACCACGAGGACCAGAGATTTGCAGTCGAATCCGCAGCAGAATGTTTACACCCGTTTCCCCATTTTGGCCCCCGGGCGGTTTATCTGATGTCCGAGCTGTTTCCCTTTGGAGGAGAACTCGGCACTACGAACCCGGCCTGCTGTTTGCTGCAATCCCCTTTCTGTGATCTCTGAGAGGCCTCCCGGGTCATGTCTGAAAGTTTAGGCAGAAACGCATCGATTTTCAAGCCAGACGGGACCGTTGTGATCACCTCGCCTGAGCTCCTGCACTACCAGCCTTGGAAGGGTTGGAGTTGTATCGGTAAATGTCGGTTTCATCATAGCTGTTTGCAGTGTCGAAGCCGAGTTGGTCCCAGGATATAAGAGACGAAGTGGGGGAGGGATTGTAATTTGTTGGAGTAGCTTCTGTTGGTGAGAGAGACAAGCTTTCGAGCTACACAGAGCTTCTCCTCTTCAAATCTTCTTCTGGTCTTCTTCAGCCCAGACCTGAACAAGAGCTTTGGGTAGGTCCTGAGCTTGTCTCTTCCACCAATGGAAGATGGTCTGATAAAAGAGATTGCCTTGATTTCACTGCATACACCCAGAGACTGCTGCCCAAATATTCCCATCAGTAAGAATCAAAATGTGCAGACAGGCCCATGGGGCCCGGTGTATTGAGCCCCTCACACCGTAGCCTGGTGAGTGTCCAGCAGGGCAACTCTACCGGCGCGGTGGGTGAGTGACATTGGGCAGAGAACAAAGCCCGTCACGGTGACCAGCACTGTCTCATTGTTCCCTGGTGTTTCCCCGTCTGTCTGTCTCCAGCTGGTATCTTTTGTCTTTGATTGTAAGGCCTGGGACTGTCTCATAACGTGTGTCTGGGCAGCACCTGGCACAATGGGGCCCTGATCTCACTCAGGGTATGTGCAGCACCTGGCACGATGGGGCACCGATCTCGGTCAAGGAGATCCATGCAGCGCCCAGTGTGATGGGTTCCCAGTCAGTAGGGAGGGTCTGCACAGTATCCAGTGTGAGGGGAGCCCCATTCTCATTTGGGGGGGTGTATATGCAGCGCCTGGTGCGATGGGGGCCCTGATCTCGATTCGGTGGGTGTGTGGAGCGCCCAGTATGACGGGGGCTCTGATCTCGGTCGGGGGTGTCTGTGAAACGCCCAGCGCGATGGGAGGCCCCTACGCTCTGATAACCCACGGAGCCCCTGGGAGGCTGTTGCTGTGGCAGGACTGGCCCTAGTGAGAGGTGGCACCAGGTGCTGCGGGACAGTTTGCTGCAGGGAGGAGACAGAGTTTGCAAAGCCGATTTATTGATGATTTTCAGAGCACAAGTCATGGGATCAAAGCGGCTGCAGGGCCCGTCCCCGTTGGCTTCCCAGTCACCCCCAGGGGGCGCTGCAGAGCTGTAGGACGGGCTGGATATAACCCCCCCCCCCGCCCTCACCTCCCCATAGCACCCCTGTGCTTCCATCCACCAGCCTCTCCCAGCCACGTCCCACAGACCCCAGCAACGCGGGGCCCACACCCAGTGTCAAAGGGGGGGTCTATAGACATCCTGAGGGGGGTTGGCCTGGCAGCCCCAGGGACAGGTCCGTGCGTGGCTCACAGGGCTGTGAGGAGGAGTGTGGCGAGTATCAGTGCAGCTGGAGACGCGCTGGCAGAGGGCCCGCACCGTTCACTTCCTTCTGGATCCAGCTGTCGTAGGCTGTCACCCGGGTGAAGACCCCGGGGAACTTGGGCTCAGAACAGACAATTCCATTCACTTTTCTGATCCTAAACCAGCTCACGACTCCAGCCAGGTACCAGGTGCCGTCCTGCTTACAGGCCAGAGGCCCCCCAGAGTCGCCCTAGAGAGAGAGAGAGAAATGGGGGGTCAGGGCCCCAATTCCCATCGCTGTCACCGTGAGAGCGAAGGCTGGATGGGGGTCACAGAACATACCCGGTGGGAACAACAGGAGCAGCGACCTCTGTCAGAGGGGTCTTGGCAGCCCCTTGAACAAGGGGGGCCCTGATCTCGGTCGGGGTCTGTGCAGTGCACGGCACAAGGGAGCCCTAATCTCGGTTGGGGTCTGGGCAGCACCTGGCACACTGGGGCTGTGGTCTCAGTTGGGGTCTGGGCAGCACCTGGCACACTTGGGCTGTGGTCTCAGTTGGGGTCTGGGCAGCACCTGGCACACTTGGGCTGTGGTCTCAGTTGGGGTCTGGGCAGCACCTGGCACACTTGGGCTGTGGTCTCGGTTGGGGTCAGTGAAGCACCTGGCACACTCGGGCTGTGGTCTCAGTTGGGGTCTGGGCAGCGGTGTTGTAATACACACAATCAGCTAGGAGGAAAGGCTCTCACTTTGCAGAATCCCCTGGGGCTGTCCAAGTCCATGTACCCGGCGCAGATCATGCTGGGTTTGACTGCCTCTGGACCCAGAGATGAGTTTGGTTTCAGTTTGTTGTAACGCTTGTTGCAGTCTGCTGTACTGATGATGGGAACCTCCAGCTGCTGCAGGGTCTTGGGTTCTGGGAGATGCTCTGGAGGGGGAGAACCGGGGGTGCGGCAGGGTTATTCCACCAGCGTCTGGCGCTCCCTGCGCCCAGCACGCCGGGGTCTGGACGACCCGTTTGTGCCCGTGGGCAGCTTTCCCCGTGCCTGTGCCATTCTGGAGACGAGTCTGGCTGCCAAGGCACATTTCTGCACTTGACTATCTCCTACTATGTCCAAGTGCAGGTGTGTCCCTGTGTGCGTCAGTGCTGCACTGCAAGGAACACACACACACACACATGGCCCTGATCATCCG